GGGACCGGCAGTGAGCACTTTTCTTCCTTCTCCTTGAGGTTGTCTCGTGCAGATACGGTAGTTTTATATACTTTTTGCTCTGAGTACTGATTGGTTGCCTTGTTTAATTATTGCCTTTTTGCCGTCTGCAGACGTGTGTGTTAATGAGACAGCAACATGAAGCCGCAGCCTTGAATGCTGTCCAGAGGATGGAGTGGCAGTTAAAGATGCAGGAGCTGGATCCGACCGGACACAAATCCCTATGCGTCAACGAGGTTCCCTCTTTCTATGTGCCAATGGTGGACGTGAACGATGACTTTGTGCTCTTGCCAGCATGACAAGGCGGACTCCTGGGGTTTTTGGGGGGGGGGGGTTTTTTTTTGGTTTTTTTTCTTAAATCAAAACTGGCAAGGGCCGGCCCCCTTGGCAAAGAAGAGCTCAGTTTTCGCTTGCACAGCTGCATCGAGAAATAATGTCCCCACTCACCGTGCAATCTTCAGTTGCGAATCGACGAATCGCAATCTTTAAAAGGATCTCTTAATTTTTATTTTTGGTTTGGCTTTATCAAGTTCCACCTTGTCGGGACATGGTGCGATGAGGCAAAAAGAAAAGCCTTCAGCCGCTGACTACCTCAGGTCAGCCTACACCGGGCCTACTTTGCAAAGCAGATGGGCCCTTTATTTTTATTTTTTTCTGTTCCATCCTGCTCCTGTTTTTTTTTTCTGGTAAATTATGTACAGTTTTTTTATACACATTACCCGATGTACTTTGCTGCCTTCTAGATAAATTATTTTGCAAACACATTACTGCACAGTTGTAAATAACTTATGTACTGTAACATCACTTTCAGTTTTGTGTAAAGAAATAAATTAAAAACAAAAAAAACTTTGTAATATATATAGTTCCCGCGAGGCAGCACCTTCCTCGAAGAGTTGATTTATGGGCGTTTTTGGGTAACAGATGGGCCAAAAAAAAGTGCTGTTATGTTCAGTATTTTGCTATATTTTTTTGTCTCCATATGTGATTATTTTAATTTTGTTCATGCCTTATGGAAAACTGTCACTTCAAATTCTGGCAATGGTTGGACCTCGTGCTGCAGAAGAGGACACCATTACAACTTCAAGCAGTTCAAGGGTTCCTGCATTGACTTCCACCTTTTGGTTAAATGTTCTTAAGGGTCCCAGTGAGACATTTTTTGTTTTATTTGTTACTGTCTTGGTACTTGTAGCTGTTAAATCTGCAATGCCGACACAGCAAAGAAGAAGATAGGTTTCCCTGTGTTTTGTGGTCATGGAGCTCCTTCAGCTTTGTGTTGGCCCCTTTTTAGAAGTTGTTCCTATGTGACCTGTAGCATGCCGCACTGACTCCGTGGGAAATCACTGCGAGGACATTCTATCAATGGAGGAATGAGCTTATGCGAATTGGCGCAGCTATGGAAACACCTTAAAGATCACAATGACCATTTTGTGCTTTTCTGAGGCCATCCAACTCTATGGTGGTCAATCCGCTACAATTGTTATACGTGATCCCTTAGGCTTGATCTGGATTCTGTCCTGTGGAGGGATAACTTTACTAAAACTGAAGTGCTAAGACCTGATTTGTATGAGATCAAAGTAGCCACCCAAATGTTATTCATCCCCTAAGACTGTACAGGCCCTGCTTAGGTTCCATCTCTGGTCCTATGTCTGTCCCTTTAGTCTTCAGACGCAGATGGGAAAACAATTTATTGCAGTATTGGTCTAGTGTCACGGGCTATTGAAATGTATTGTGTGCTGGATTGTTTGCGTTTTGTTAGGTTTTATTGGTGACGTGCACCTTCTGTCCAGTCATTGGTAAGGAGTCTCTCTTGTCTGTGCTCTGTACAAGTTACACTCATGCAGATTTACGTTGTTCTAGGTTCTATATTTTTGTTCTTGCATGTCTTTGCTGTGAGGTTTCTTGTTAACATTCCACACTACAGGACGATTAGCCAGACTGTGGTCAGAGCATGTCCTTTCCATGTATGGGTTCCAGCTGTTGTACATGAGCATGGCCTAGCCCAGGAACTCATCCCTTCAGACACTGACTCGAGGGTATTTCCTGACTTCTGAGCCGGTATCGGAACATATAGGATACAACTCGAGTTTCAGTGTTCTTTGCGTCTCAGTTCCCAGCACAGTGCATCTCTTCTATGCCCGGCGAATATCTTTAGCAGTCGGTGAATCTAGAACCAGGTTAAGCTTCCAGGTTGGTGGCAGAGTCGTTCACTTTTGGAATCCGGCGTTGGCAGCATGCAAGGTGTAAGTAGTTCCAGGTTTTGGGGCCTTGACTTCAGATTCATTAGCTTTCCTCTGTCAGCCTTGTGTGCTTTTTCATTCACTGCTTCGGTCTGCTTATAGAAAATGTTCCCTGGCCTTTAAGACCTTTTGTCTGGCACCAGAATCCAGTGTTTGTTCACACGTAGGGCTTGTCACACCATTTCCAAAGAGCTGCATGTTTCTGTTCACCACGGGACACGTGTGGTTTAAATGGTGCACATGGAAGACGATTGTTTCCTCTGTGCCATGTTTGCACCATGCATGTGGTGTGCAGAAAAGCACAGCTCAGCCGGGCACGGTGTGAACACACCCTTAGTGACCACTAGGCTGCGCTCTTGCTCTTTCAGGCATACATTACAGTCTATCCAAAATTCCGTTCCTTGTCATTAGTGGTTTCTGAAGAGAATATGTGATATTAGATGGCTTCGTATGCCTTTAGATGTCCGGGGGAGGGGGAAATACTGCGCTTTGTTCCTGGTGTTCAGCTATAAAAAGAATCTCCTTTTAATTTGAGGACTTTTTTTCTGACTATAAAAATAAAAAATGGTCCCAATATCAGCGCCACCCTCGACTCCGGAGAAGCCCAACATCTGAGTGATGTCAGTATTTTTTAGGGAATAGGCTGCAGATTCGGTTGCAAAAGAAATTCTTTGGGCATAATAACACAGAGCTGCTAATTCAAGTCGCAGGCCCATCGCATCCCTTTCCATAGCTGACAATCCTTCCTGTGATGGCAGACGGTCACACCTGACACGGGGCCGGGCTTGAAGCTTTAGCCTCTGCTTCAGCCTATGGAGTAAAAGATGGGATAGGACTGTGACTAGCGTTGGGGGTGACATTTGTTTTTTCGTTGTGCTGTAAGGTGGTGAATCCCCTGAATGCTGCTCATGAAATCCCCAAACAGACGGACGTTGACGCTTTTTAACATGAGGTTCATGGCTGCCGCTATAAGGGGCGGAGCTCCATTGGTCCGTTTTAATGATTCATTTTAAGCTAGTTTTCCAGTACAAGGCATGAGTCGTTACACAATCAGAAAGAAAAACCCTTTTTATTTATTCTTTTAACACGCCTGTGTCTCCTTTTCTCTCACCTGTGGTATGTTGATTGATGTCTCAGCAGATTGTATATTTCCCTCCTGTATTGGTCCTCCGAGACATTGTACATATGTGTAAATATCGATCTAGCAGATCGCTCCACACCCTTTGTAACAGTTCACTTGCGTACAGTGTGTGGATGGATACAGCAGCCAGATTGCGTTCTTTCAATGTAACAATTTAATTTTTTTTTTTCTTTTTATTTTCCACTTGGTTGTGTACATATTGTTTGGCAGTGCTGGTGCTGCCTGTGCACTGCGCTGCCCCCTTTTTTGCGGTTCAATCATTCAGCTGTATACAACTTCCTGCAGAAATACGACACAAATGTTATTTTCTACAACTGCATGTACAGAGAGAAGGCCAGAAATGCTGTTGTCCCTCAGAGATAATGTTCGTAAATAAATTTAAAAAAAAAATTGTTTTGAGTTTTGTTTTTTCTTGTAAAGTTTTTGGCGGTGCGTCTCACTGCCGCCATTTTTATTTGCTCTTCTTTAGAATCACTGGTGAGGGTTACAATCTGACGCCACAGGGGAGATTTTTCTTCATTTCCTGTCCTGAAGATACAACGGAAGGTGAAAGGGATTCCCACTTTGCCGGTTGTCATTGGAACGTGTATCCCGCTTTTATTGACCCTTCCCCTCTGCCCTGGTGTCACTGACGGGTACTGAGGTGGACACAGCAACGTGACAGAGGCTCTACCTGTATCCAAAATGAGTTTTGGCTGGAGGATTTCCCTGCTTACCAGTCCTGTTATCACACCCAAAGTGAGAATAATAGGACCCCCTATTCTCTACTGACCTCATCGTAGAAATTTCTCCTCACTTCCTGTCTTTGTGCCTTAATAGGAAGTGAACATAAATCCCTAGGAAGGTTATAGACTGCATCCTGGTGAGAACGTAACTCTTCATGTATTTCAGGTGCCTTAAAGGAGAACTATGAGGTGAGCAATTTCCACTCATCCTCATAGTTCGAGCCGACGTGCGACAATGAAACTGTCACAGGTCGGCTCAGTAGATCGGGAAGTGAGCGAACACATACCGGCGTTCGCTCACTTCTCAAATACCCCTGCAGAGAGCCGTGACGGTCAGTCAGGGATTCTCCTCGCTCTGATCCTCCAGCGCTGACTGGCGGAACGGAGTGGGCGGGTATAGCTGGCTTTGCCTCTAGATAGGCAGTGCCCGCTGTCACTCACGCAGCTGGGTGTATCTTGACAGTAATGTTGGGATCCGTCCCGGCTGTGTCGGTCTCAGTATACCGCGAGCTGTAGTTTGCTATATACTGAGCGCTAGTTTATGTCCTCCCGTGACCCAAAGAGAACTATGGGGAAAAACACTCACCCCGTAGTTCTCTTTTAAACTTTAGTACAAACGTGCTGCCAATTTACAGTGGAAGTGAAGGGAATGAGGCGAAAAAGCCCCGTGGCGCTCTTGGCCAAAACATGTTAGTATACACAGGGCTGCAACAACTAATCGATAATGAGAATAGTTGGCAACGGGGGGAGAGTTTTCTTAATACAACCAATTGATTAATTGAAAAAAAAATTGGCCAACTAATCGATAATGAAAATAAATAGCTGCAGCCCTGATGCACAGCATGTTAGCACACATTATGGGCTTGCCTTCCAAAGCGATCCCCCTCCAGCGCTGAGCTCCTCCCTCGCTGGTGCTTCCATCTTCATCCCAGTCTTCTTCCAGGTTCTGATTCTTATCTAATTGGCCCGTTCCCGATGGTGTAATTCCTGCACATGAACACAGGTGTTACTTTATCTCCAAGAATATTGCCGGGCCTGTGCAGAGAAGAACAAAGTGCTGACTGGCAGGAAGAAGCTTCTATGGCACAACAGATTTGCACAGTCTCTTCTGTCATATTATACGAGTATTATACTTTTTTTTTTTCCTTTCAATAATGAATCCGGATCCAACTACTAGACATCACCCAGCAAAGTATCAATACTTTTGTCTAAGCATCGTGTTTCTGAACAGCTCCACCTCTCTCAGCTCGGCTTCCCTTAACTTCCTGTCCAGTACAAGATCACAAGAGAGAGCACAGTCTCCAGCAACTGTATAAAGCATAGAGAAGGGAGAGGGATAGAGCAAGAAAGGAGGGGAGGGGAGTTTCTTGCTTTGCTGTGTCTGGGAGACGCACAGCTTACTAGCACACAAGGGGGAATCCATAGGACCCTGCAAGGGGAAAGAGCCACCCTAGGGGAAGTTTCACACCATTTTCCGGACCAGATCTGGAACACAGTGCATTGGGTTTTTGCTGCATTTGGATTTATTTTTTTTTGCATAAAATGATCTTACAGGTTGGTTCCAG